CCTTTACAGCAGAAAAGTCCTTTTTTTTTTAAATATTAATGATTAAGAACTAGAAACTAAGTAGAAAATGCGAACGGGTTATAGTATATTGGTACCTTAATAGTGAATGAGTTTAGCATGGTTTCATCAGTAGTGCTGATGCTGACATGAAGGATTTCAAGAGACAGGTCTTCAAGCGCTGATATGATCTTCAAAGCTTGACCTGGAATAGGCGGAGACACTGTTTTCAAAAGAACGTGCGGCCCAGAAAACTTGACCTCCACATCGGCCATAGCAGACTTGGAGTTGGCCACAAGCTCGTTGATGTTATCGTTAATGGAGGAAGAAGCAGCAGAAGAGGTAGGAGATGGCTCGAGAGAGTGGGAGATGGTTGGAGAAAGGTAACCTTGCTGCAACCTGGGCTTGTAAGGACTACCTGGTTGTGGAGTCCTCGGACTAATGGGCAAGCTTAGCCTAGGGCTTAAAGGGGGCTTTCTAGGACTAAGGGCTAAAGGCCTTGGACTTGAGACTAGCCTAGGGCTCAGCACTTCACTGTATACTTTTCTTTGCTTCTTGGCTTCTAGGGACTGTAGAATCAGCTGCAACTCGTTTATGTAATCAACCACTCCTCCAATAATCGATGCTTGGTCACCCTAAGCAAACCATTTCCAACGAATAAGCCAGGATGGATAAAATACTTTTCATATTTAATCGACTCTTACTTTAAGTAGTTTTTGAATAGTATTAACAAGTCAAGACTGCACGCACAATGGATATATTTTGATTTTTAAACATGATAATTATTTTTTAGTGATGGCAAAGAGACAAGTTAATCTTCTTCACGGCTTAGCGCTAGTACATCTGTACATGTACGTATCAAGTAAACTGTATATCGTGAATATACTAGTGTTCTATTGTGCTTTACTACTAATTTCTTAAGAGATAAAATTAAACATGACTTACACGTTTGACATAGAAGTTTGGCATAAGTGACCTTAAGACGGACAAGTGCTCGTTCATTTGCTTTCTTCGGTTGCGCTCAACAGTGATGTGAGATATCCTTTGTTGGCCGTCTGGGTTTGGATCCTCCAAAGAAGTGGTCGGTACGAGCTTCTGTCTCTTGCTTTTGGGTGAAGCTTCAAGCTCAGTTTCTTCAGATTCTTGTAGAGCACTTGAAGTTGATTTTTGTGAAACGAACCTTGAAGTTTCCTCTTTCTCCTTAGTGCTAACAACAGCTTCATCAACGGGAGGAAAGTCAGCGAAGTCCTCAAGTCTCTCCAAAATGGCAAAGAGGTCATCTCCACCAAATTCCTTGTCTTCAAGAATATCAGAAAAACTGTCATCCATTTTACGCTAGCCTTTACTTAAAGAGAGGAGACGGGAAACTTTGGACTTTTTGGAGCAAGAAAAGGACTGGGACAGGAGCGAGGAGAAGGATGAGGATGGAGGAGGGGGATTGTAAAAATCCAGGAAAGAAGAGAGGGAAGATGATGATGATGTGATAGAGACTAAACGATCGCTATCAAGAATAAGAGCCTTTTGCATGTATGCCGTTGGGTCTAATTATTGAAAACATGGGTTTTGTAAACGGCTAGAAGCAAAAGGATCTCACGGGAATCAGGTAGGAGTAGTGCACAGAAACCCAAACTGAAGGCAGGGCAGAACAGAGGCAGTATCAGACTTCTGCGGCAGTACTAATAACTGGAACCAAAGAAATCAGAGCCGTTACTCACAGAGAGAGAGAGAGAGAGAGAGAGAGAGAGGAGGCAGAGAGAAGTAGAGGGGAAAAGAAAAGGGTTTTATTTATATAGAACTAGCTAGCTAGTAATGTTAATAAAGATATAGAGGAACATAATGATTGATGCTAATGAAGCTTTACGTATATTTAGTTCGTTATACAACCGCTGCCACTCGAAGAGATACTAGTGTATATGAATCTAACCAATGAATGAGTGTGTTCTTTTAGGAACATATATATATAGATGAGATGCCATTTTTCATAAATGCCTCTGCACTCGTTCATTAATGCTATCAGCAAAATTTTTTAAAATTTAGATGAGATGATCACTGAGACATTTAAAATTGAATGTACCTTATATTATTAATTTATCAATAGGGATAGATGGATATACTTCTTAATTTCATTGAATTTGAAGAACTTTTAAGCAAACTTTCTTTATCCTTATGTATAAAAAGTTTTTAAAACTTTTTTTATTTTTAAATATAAAAAATTATTAATATATTTTTTAATGAATATATTATTATACTTTTATTAAATTAAAAAGAGAAAAATATAAATACTCTCATTAATTTACTTTAAAAAAATTATTTTTTTATTTATCATAATTAAAGAAAAAATTAAAATATTAATATGCTTTTAATTAGATATCAACTTTTATTAATTTAATTTATATAATTCAATTAAAATTATTTTATATATAAAGACAGAGGGAGTAATTTATGAAACTTTTAATTTGAACAAGATAAGCTGACAGTTAGTGCTTTGTATCTGTTCATTTTCGTCGTCAATATTGTGAGCAATGAGCAGCCTGATAATGGTTCTTGAATAATAATTGTTTACGTGAAATCTTATGCAACGTCAAAGTTCAAACCCCTAAACCCTTATACATGTCCATGACATCAAAGGCCAAATTTTTTTTTTTAAAAAAGAGGGGATAATTATAGACAAATTTAAAAAAAAGGAACAATTATATTGAAGTCCTACTTAAAAAAATTAATTATTGTAAGGTCCATTGACAACTAAATTAAACTGTATTGATAATACAATCAGTTATCAATGCAATTTAGTTCAATTATCAATAAACTTTATAATAATTAATTCCTTATGTGAGACTTAAGTGTAACTCTCCCAAAAAAAAAAGACGTTAAAGTTTACTACATTTTTGTTGGCGATGAAAAGTGTTTAATTAAGCTTAGAGATATAATAACGTCTTCAAGAAATCTGCTTTGTGGTTATTATATAATATACAAAAAAGTTTTCAGGACTCCAAACGACTAAAAACAAGTATTCCCTCTATCCTACATTATAAGATATTTTTAGACAAAATCTCATATACTAATAAACCTCATTAAATACACTTAACAACCTTATCTTTTTAAAATAAAAATATAAACTTTTAAAAATACCCATCATCTAATATATTGAAAAGAGAAGGGACAAGAATTAATTATAAAGAAAAAACGGATAATATTAAAATTGATACATTTAATGAAACCTTAATTTATCCAAAACGTCTTATATTTTCGGATAAAGAAAATTCTTCAAAAGTGTTTTATAATTTGGGATAAAGGGAGTAGTTCAGAGGGTAATATTTATAAATTGGAGTGTCATAATTGAAGAGTAAAGTGGAATAATATTTAGTTTCATATCAATATATATATATATATATATATTATAATAAATGGGCAAGTAGTTCAGAGGAAAGAGATCGGATGAGATTGATAGATAGACGGGGGCAGAGATGGCAGTGGAACCATTTTAAAGAGAAGCTATAGGTTACCTTCTTTATGGGGAAAAAGAACAAATGAAGCCGGCATGGAGGTGGTTGATTTTACGGGAAAAACCGTTATTGCTGCAAAGCCAAAAGTGGAGAATGTTCTGAACGAAATCTCACTATACAATTCCCACCCAGTCACGGCACTCGTATGTATAAATTTTGGACTGTGTCTTACTATGTGTTGGCTGCTAGTTTCTGTTCACGAACTCTACATACTTGTCCCAACATTCTTGGGGGCCAAATACCCTCCGACCCTCCCGGTCCTTTTTCCCCTTTAATCTTCTACCTTCCAAAATTATATCAAATTTATTTGCTGATCAGGTTTTCTTATCAAACATGAGTTGACGCATGTGTTCGCCACAAGTATATTTAAAGTATAACTCCCAAAATTATACGAGCACTTTTTATACAGTATACGGTAAGGATATATACCTTGTTTAAAATAATAGAAAATTCAACTGATCTCAAGAATTTGAACTGTCTCTCAGTTAAATGCATCTTGAGATTGTGACAAAGAAACTAAAAAAAGGGAGTTTTTAATTACGCAAACGCTAAATTGCAACAGCAACTTAGACTTAAGTGGATAGCAAATTCGAGTAGGATGCCACGATAATATTCAGAAGGCGGTAACAAATTCCCAATATCCCAGGAAAAAAAAAAAAATAAAGCTCCTATCTGCTAAGACATTGCTAGAATCTCAATTAGCATGGTAAGTAACTTATTATCCAAAATTAGGAAGATGGACATTGCTCCTACTAGAAAGGACAAAAAAAATCAGTGTGTTTGTCGATAGATGGATGAAAGAAATAAATGAGGGAGGGTGGGAGGAGGACAAAGTTGCAGAGAGTAGCAATGGTGACTAGTAAGAAGGCGAAACTGATCGGCAACTTGTTCTCGTTTCTTTAAAGTTTCACATTCGTATAATTAATGGTTGTTGTTATGAAGTTAGGCTATCAATGAGCAAGCACGGCATCTCCGTGTCTACAATGATATGCACAAGATGACAATGTGGTTCTCTTCTCTCTCTCTCTCTCTCTCTGAACGAGGAAGGAGGGCTCACCATGGCAGGGTTGGCCACTCCTGGTAAGTAACAAATGGGGGAGCAGTAATTGCCTGTTTCAGCATGGGAGTGCGTTTCATTTAATTCATATTCAATCCATAATTTTTTGGTTTTTTCACATTTATTTCCCTCCAAATGCGTCCATTTCTTTGGCATCATACATCAATTTTCACATTTACCACTCTGAACGACCACCCCACCTTTTCTTCTCTCCCAAATCAAACTGGGGTTTCAATTTAAGCCAATATATCATTATTATTTATCAAGAGGCAGAATATTGCATGCTGCCACCGTATTTACTAGGTCTTGAATAGTGTGACATGCATAATAATCATAGCATCTTACTTTTCTTACACCGTGTAATGCAACCATGCATGCCGCAGCGTGTACTCTGGTAGTTTCAAAGATTCAAGCTGTTTCAGATTCTCACACACGCATAACAGTTAACAAGCAGTATGGGGAACAGTACCTTAATCATGACTTCCACTGTACAACCCAAAAGCTGATGCTTAAATTAGTTTTTGGCTACGGCGGTTTGTCGTTTGTGTCCTAAATACCGTTCACTTTTAAATCTTCCTTTCCCAGACTTGCAGAGGTTGCCCTGCTTTGTTCTTCTGTGCCAACATGATGGGATAATTAGGTTTCCTGGATCTGCAATAGTACAATGTGAAAACCATATCTATTTCATTTCATTCTCGGTTCTCGCAGACAAGTGATGATTGAAGGTAGTTGACAGGATATGTAGCGAGTAGTGATGTCCATGGGAAACACAGCTAGCTAGCCAGAATACAGAACTTACTGTTATGACATACATGTGACTCTTGCTAAGCGGACAAATAATGGTATAGGTACAGGCAAACATTCTGCGATATGTAAAGTTGGTAAGCCCATGTCTACATATTGAAGACAATTTATGATTGAAGTTATAGGTTAAATCTAGGTTTGGTATATCTATTGGTTTCTATTTTAAGACGATTCCAGGTAAGGTTTTCAGTAGAACAACACCCTAGATCGGTCTCCGAGATTGAAAATGGACACTGACAGCAGTATCTGGTAGCTAATCCACGCTCAAGGATTTAAATTTTGATAGCTTTGCATGTCTAGATAACGTAGCTAGGTAGCATATTTTTTAGGCATAACTTGTTAAATTTGAGCATATAAGCATAAATTGTCCGGATCATTTACAAAGCTGTGTGAGACAAAATTTAAAAACATGAAATTAAGAAAGAAATGAATAGGGCGGGTCCCGCTCAGAGAAAACTTCATTCATTTCTCAATCTGAAAGCACATTGAATGCCCACCCACGAAATGTATGAGCAAGACATTACTACTCTTTTCACCTAAACCTGTCATCTTCTTTCCCTTTCTCTCTCACCTCCTATTTGTCCGTCGCCCCTTGCGCCGGTGAAGCGATCCTTGAGGCTTGTTGGTAATTGTGTCCCACATGCTTGATTCTCTGTTAGATTTCCATACCCCATCTCTGATGTCACGTCTCCATCCCCTGTCCTACGTGCCTATATTCGGTGCACCCGTCCATACCATTTGATTAAATTCCCTTCATGCGCTTGTCGGGATATTACAAACTTAAGACTGCTCTTTTTCATCCCTCTAAACTTGAGCGCAAAGAATTATCTTATAACTTTCCCAGTAAATAAATGTTTTCATCTTTAAAAAGTACATGATTTGTTTGAATTTTTCAGTATACAAGATTTAATATATGCCAGTTCTATGGCATTTCAGATTTGCAGGGATGGAGGTACCAAAATCAGTTGAGAATGGAGCATTTATTGGTTGATATTGTCTCTGAAGCCTTTTATCGAACAGAAAGAGTGCGTGGCATTTCTGACGTGTCGACGGTAACCCATTTGACGGGAGTTTTTGGAAGAGTTTGGTGAGTTATGTAATGGCTGATGGGGACAAGGATGGGTTTGACGTCTCTCTTTCAAGAAAAGGTGTGGGAGCATGCTTTTACATCAAAAGGAACGGAACAGGCATCAACGCATAAATTTAAACGAGGGAGTGCGAGAGGGCGTAAAGGATGTACCTTGGCGCACCATAGTAGTTTTGATTTGAATGCCATCGTTGGGGCTTCCTACGAATACCAACAAAATATAAAGATCGAACGATGCATGTCGGAGTCTTGGGTGATAGCGACAAGTGAGAGATATGAATTCATGCTTCCCGTTTTGCGAAATGAGACTTTAGGATTAGCCCCACGCTTAGCCGCGGAATGTTTGTAATTCTGATCTTTCCATCCGATGACCTTGTCTGTTTTCTTTCTTTATTTCCCTCTTTTTTTGTTTTTTTTTAACCCTCAAACATTGTCTCTCTTCAAATCATTGGCATTGACAAGTTGTTTTGTGTGATTTTCCTCATATTACTTTGTTTCATTCATTCTCATAATGTCAGCATATAGTGGGATGATTACACCATAACATTTCTTTTCTTTTTTCTTTTTTCTTTTTGATAAATAGGAGAGACAAAAGAAAACTGAAAGGGAAAGAACAGGGGACGAAACCCAAAAATTCAAGAAAGAGTCAATTTTAAAAGCATACCATTCGTATCTCTTGAAATTTTCGAAGTTAGAAGCACTCAGATTTCACCAACAATCTCCGCATACAAGTGATCAAACCGTAACATATTAATCATATAAAAAAAACATTTTAATCATGCCGTGTCACAGTAAAAGGAGTATTTTTTTTTCATTTTAATTGTATTTTTAAAAACATGTATCATGTAAATATGCTTTTGAAAACTATGCATTATTCATTTTTATTGTGCAAATGGAGAGAGAATAAATTACACGTCAAATTTAAATTTTATTTTTATTGTCCAATTGACAAGATGTAATTTATCCAGACTCCAACAGCAAATGATATTTATTGATGAATAGAATCAAACACTTCTCCACCAATTCGATTTTTATTGTAACAACGCATCAATAAGTTTATATAGATTAATGAATTTAATTACAATTAGCTAATAATTTTAAAAATTCAAAATTATCCTCAATAAAATTCATTATTTAGAACATAATGTGTGACCAGGAAGCTATTTAATTAGCTATATCAAAGGCAAGGACATTTAAAGAAAATTTCTTGAACAAAATGTTCAATAATAAGGACTTTTGGAGGAAGGGGAGCACATTACTCTTATAAGTAATAAAAGACATTAAAATTTTAAGAGTTAAAAGAAAAAAAGTCTAAGAACTTTTTTTTTTCTGACATTTAACATCCTAAACTTTTATTTAAAGTAATTTTATTTAAAATAAAAAAAGTTACCTTTTGAACCTTGCTGTTAAATATAAAAATGTTGACCCTTAAAAACTGGGTTTGACCAGAGTTGTTTTTGGCCTTCCATGTTTCTGCGTTTTTTTTTTTTTGTCTTCACTTGCCTTTTCTTCTCTCTTCCTTCTCCCCCTTCTTCTGCGTTCACACCCATGATCAAAAATTCAAAATTTAGAACGCAGAACGCAATAGCCTTAATCTGAATTAAATGAAGAGTCAATCAAACACAAATAGAATGTCCATTTAACAAATCTTTGAACCTCGAATTTTAAAACCAATTTGTATTTTAAAATGCATTAGTTTTGCAAATCTGAAACCTCTCCTTCATCATCTTTATCTCTAAAAATCACAATTAGGATCAAATTATCAGTAAAGGCACTTTATCTGGTCCTTTTTATTTATATGCAAACGCATTTTATCGCCACGATTGATGGAACGAGAAACGGCAAGTTCTGAAGCTGGATTTTTCTGGACTAGTTTTTTCACTGAAGGCGGAATGAAGACAATGATGACTCTTCCAAACTACTCCGCTATGCTCTCAGGCTCTCGAATTGCAACTAATTAAACACCATTTTATCTCTCAAACTAATATTCACATGTCCAAGCTTACATTTATCGCTCAAAACCAAAATCCCCCAGAGCAAGAGTCTGATACTACTGAAGTGCCATCCATACTTCGAAAATCGCAAAAACAAATAAAATGCAAACCTAAATATTAAATACCTTTTAACAGTAAGGATAAATATGATTGCGTCAAAATGCGAATCTAAATATGAGACTTCACAGATATAGACTGTGGAATTAAGAATTAAAAGCCTTTTCATTTGGTTTTATATATGCCATTAATTTATTCTATTTCAGAGATCCATCGAGAGAGAAAGAAAAATGCCATCATCAAGCTCTTACTCATCTCCTTGCACGGCCTGCAAATTCCTGAGAAGAAATTGCATGCCAGGTTGCATCTTCACCCTACTTCCCTCCTGAGAAACTTAAAAAATTCACACACGTGTACAAAATCTTCGATGCCAGCAACGTGACTAAGTTGCTCAACAAAGAGAAGACGTCATCAACTTGCTCGCCTATGAAGCAGAGGCGCGTGAGGGACCCAGTGTACGGATGCATTGAAGTTGAAGCCATCCCTTTCCTTCAGAGACAGGTCCAAAGGCTACGAGAGGAGCTTGAAGCTGCTAATACCTATCTTCGCTATGCTACAACTACCATGCCTGAAGCAAACTCACAAGGGAGAAAGCAAGATTGCGGAGGTCAAAAATGTAGAAGAAGAATGCCGAGATAAGAATAGGGAGTCGAACTGAAAACTAAAAAGGAATGAGAGTCAAAGAGTCAAAATAGTAACACACCCTTGGTCAAACTTCAATTTAAAAGTCAACATTTCCTAAGTTTAATGATAGGACTTTATTATACCCTTTTTAAAAGTTTTAGGATAAAACTGTTCCACTAAAAAAGTTTAAAATACTAGATGTTCTTGAAGAAAAAGTTTTAAGACATTTAACCCAAATTTAAATATGATAATCTTAATGCCTCTTAAATTTCCCAAGAATGGCATATGGGAATATTTTCCTGCTCATTGCGCGGGAAACTAGCGAGGCTCCTGTCCTAACTCCCGACCAAAACTGTCACGGCGTAATTAAGTCTACGAAATGAAATGATTGCTAACTGAAACGAAATCCAGTATACCAAACAGCTTCGCTGCAAATTAGCTTTCACCTCCGAGACAAGCTAAAACTGAGGAAATAATGTGCAGAGAGCCTGTAATGACAATAATACCCCTCTCAACCCCCTTGTTCCTCTTTAAAATCCTGCCTGTGGTTCTCAAACAACTCATTAAACAACCCTCAGTAGCCAATACAGTTCTATGATCATGCAAATCCCTGACATGAGGGATTATTTCATCCTTTACCAATTCTCCGTATCCTGCTATTCCTTCGTGAACAATTTCAATGCCAAGTTCTTCAGAAGCTTGAATCCAAGAATCTTTCAAAGACGCAGCCGACATCATCCGAGTTACACCTCCGGCAATAGCAGCTTCAGCCAATACAACAGTCACTACATGCTCCCCTGAACAAATGCATAAGAGAGATTTTGTTGCACGGAATCGATTCAAACATTAAGCAGTAAGTTCCCCCCCCCCCCAAGTGTAGAGTACTACTTTGATCAAGGAACTAAACCAAACCAGCCACCAAACATAATATAAAAAGAAACAGAATTGATAGATTTACCTGAGAGAATCTCTTTGGCAAAACCTACGTGGTCTTTGTCACTTGCCATAGCAACAACAAAACCTAATCGAGCCTCTGGATATGCCATCCTTATAGTGTTCATCAGTGCTTTAGCAGATTCTTTGGTATGGGCTACAGCAATATCCGGGGAAAAAAAAACATAAAATTCAGTCCTAATGAATGACAGGAGCCAGAACCTATGTACAGTGGACGGAATAAACAAGAGTAAAGTAAATGCCAGGCAACAGGAAGCAGTTGGCAGCAGTAATTAGAGAAGCAGTTATTTTAGCTGAGCTTCCCTTTTGTGTTGTAATGTGTTAACAAATGTTCTCTTTGTTGTCAATTATCTGTGGGTTCGTTTCTGGTGTATTATGTGTTGACAAGTTACTATGCAGGATCTGCTGTCAATTTCCTAGGAGTCAGACATGTTCAGTTAATGTGAGTCCTTTTAATATATGTGTATAATTGTGTCAGGTGGCAATGTGTGAAGTATCATTCAGTCTAATATTTTGGTGATTCTCCACTTTAATTTTATTGGACTATGAGATTCAGATACAGGTTCATAATCTGATAAGAGAAATTCCTCCTTTTCATTCATCAAAAACTATCAGACGACTACATAAAATACTAAGGCTACATTCTATTCTAGATTTTTTGCACTTGGAAAATTTTGTAGATTTTTTTTTTTTTTGCCACAAGAAAATTTTGTAGGATTCAACAAAAACAGTTCTTCACTAAATTCGAATCAACACTTGATTTCAAGCTAACTTATTAAGAGTGAAGACCACAGTTGAACCAAAGATGCTTGCGTTGCATAGAAAGAACTCAATATCCCATAAACAAAGTCGTGAATTTGAATCATGCGAGACCTTGTTAGGAGTTTCCCCTCACTTAGATTTCAACAATTCTTGAATCTGGGTTAGTCAATAGTATCGAAAAAAGAAGATAGGCTGATAGCAAAGTCAAAGGAATCAACCTCCATCAAGCAATATCGTTGCTCCAGCAAGTCCTAGCATCTTAGCTTCTTCATTTGTTAGGAATTGACTCCTTCCAAGGAGGCATGTATGCTCTAAGCCAGCCCTAATAGATTCATCAGAAATTCTCCATCCTGATCATCCGAACAAGATAAAATGGAAGTATAGATACATTTCAATAGCAGCTAACCTAAAACAGTTAAAGGTACCGTTTTAATGTGCCAAGACGACAATAATGAGAACATATGGATCATGAAGAGCTACATGAAAGACTTAATTTACCAGGAAAAGAAAATAAAAGACAGACTTGTATAAAAGTAGTTAAAGAACTAGAAGCAACGTCTTGACAACTCTGGGTTCTATGGCATAAAAAGGTATCTGAGCAACGGTTTGACAGGATGAAAGGCTTTTATCTCCCTACACTTCACAGAAACCCTGACTGCCTGAGTAGATGAAGATCCACACATCTATACGACTATGCCCCAAGTAACGTTTAAACTAGAATAAAAATATACAATTTAAATAACTAAGAAAGTAATAGAAAAGGCAGAATTTTATGAGCATAACATAGAAAATTATTACCAAAATTACGAAGACATAGTGCTACACAAGTAGCAGTTGCTGCATTCTGTAGTTGGTGACTTCCAAGCATGCGCAGTTTTACACCAAGTAATTCACAGGACTGCACGAATAGATAAAAAATCATTCACAATCTTTCAGCTGATCAACAATAGCAACTAGACGTTGGGAACTACTTTAAGAACCAGGCAGAGGTGGAACAGAAATGGGGTGCACAGTCATTTTTAACATTCAGAATGCAGATGAGATAACATGAAATGCAAAGCAGCATTTCACACAAATGGGGCCATAAAAATTAGGACTTAGTGCAGAGCAAGCAATGAATTGATTATTCAAAATTAAGATCTTATTTACTTGAGTCATTCTTTCTAAACTCTCTTATCATTCTCAAATGCTATGTATCCTTTTTGAGTTTTTGACAACTATTCACAGCAAAAGCTGCTTGCTAAACCATTTTCTATGAATGTCGTTACAGACTACAAATGAGTATCTTTAAAGAGTATTAATTAAAAATAATTTTTAAAAGCACAAACATGCAAGTAGGATGCACAGTATGGATGAAGAATGAAATCTCAAGAAGACAAGTTCATACCAGCTCCAAGTCTTTCTCAACTTCTATTGCTATATCACATGATTGGCAAGGTCTGCCATCAAGCATGCCAACAGTTCTTATAGAACATCTATTCCCAGCATCAGATGCTGACACTACTGGTGAATCCAGGGATGCTGCTCTGTCGCGAATAATGTGTTCAATATGAGGGAGAAATGGCCCACCCAGAACCAGCTGAAATATATTTATTTCGTCAACAAAATTGATGGAAAACCAACAGAGTCCAGTATATAAATGGTATTTCTTTATACATACATACATACATACATATATATATATGAAATCTAGTACTACTTGGTCATATTTGAGTATTATCTCAAAATCCAAAGTATATTATTGCGTTATTTTCTTCTCTCTTTTTTTCTTATTTTAATTAATGAAGGTTCAAAATATGTGTTTCCAGTGAAAAAAAAAAAGAAGATAAAGCAATAGAAGATACGCCAAATTAAACCCAAAAGACAAGACAAATGGCCGTCTTGCCTCATAGCTGCCTTAGAATTACAATTGGATCACCTAGCTAGCTGACACCCCAAAATAACTGAATTAGAAATTGTCATTTTAACTTCCAACCCTCAGCAGTTGGCCTGTTTTAAGCCATGCGATGCTAGCATTATATAAGAAAAACATATGACAATTCTTGAATATTTGCTTGCTCTCCGCTAATTTATATACATATGCCTATCAAGCTTTAAGATAAACAAGATATTTGATGAGCAGATAAAAGCCAGGAACAACAATCCTCTTGAATGCTTAACCAGTAAGGTAAGAGAGTCCTCTTAGGCTCTGTTTGGTTGGAGGGGAGGGGAGGGGAGGGGTTCCATTTCTCTCATTTGGTTTAAAATTTTTGGAGGGGAGGGGAGCCAAAATTTTGGCTCCCCTCTCCCCTCCCCTCCCCTTATTTTGGCTCCCTCCAAATTGGGGTTTTTTGGAGGGAGAGGTAAATTTGTTGACTAATTTACCCTCATTATTTTTATAAAATTACGTTATTGCCCTTGAAACACAATAAATACGTTTGGCTTTCTTTTTCTTCCAGGAGCTCGGTCTGTCTCCAGCGTCTTCTCAGTCTGTCGGAGCTCTCGGTCTGTCGGAGTTCTCACCGTGCGTCTGGTCTGCCGTGCTCGAAGCCCCGCCGTGCGTTATCCCATCAGGTCCTCCTCTTCGAAGCTCTCACCGTGCATTCTCAGGTCAGATGCGTTTTCTTTTCGTTCGGACCCTGTTTTGAGATCTGTGGTTGTTCTGCTTGTTCTGGTTTTCTTTTCGTTCGAAGCTCTCACCTCGTTTTCGTTAGATGCGTGGCTTTGTTCTGGTTGTTCTGTTCTGAGCTCTCGGTCTGTCTTCTTTGTTCTTTGTTCTGCTTTGTTCCTGTCAGATCACCCTGTTCTTTGTTCTGGGATGTGGCTTTGTTCTTTGATGCCACATCCCTCTTAGCTGCAGCACTACTAAATCACGTGCACTGTTAGAAACATCAGGAGGTGGGGTTCTTGTTGATGCTGTTAAAATCTGTAAATCTATTGTGAGGACAGTCTCCCAGTAAGGATTTAAATTTTAATTAGCCAAGATCAGCTCCTTTCGCTATATCCAACTGACTGGTTGGTTTCTTTTGGTATTGAATCACCCACAAGTACTGGGGCCCTAGGTGATCTGTGGTGTGAACGTACATAGCCGATCCATGATGATAACTGAATCGTCGCCTTACCAGATTGGAACACATTAATGCCATGCAATGGTATAGACAGAGAGAGAAAGAGAGTACAAGTGTTCATTACAATATTATAGGAATACCCAGCTGCTGAGTGTCTTGAAAACATTTGGGTTCGGTTTCACAGAGCCATCATCAATACTTCATTTTCTATGTTGTGACTTTATCTAAGGTTTCTCTTTTCACGAAAAAGGTTTCTATGTTTTTGTCTTATCAGAGATTGGGATCACTTCTACTATATATCATTTTATTAGTTGTATATGCACATATATATAGTTTCCTTGTTCTCCATCACAGCATATTCAAACGTTAAAGAGTGGTTTAATTTATAGAATGGTTATTGCAATAATGAAATATGAATATTAAGGCTTGTTTATTGATTTTCATTATTGTTCTTGATTGCTTTGTTAGATGAGCAAGGAATCTGAAAATCTTTTATTGGTGCAACATTGGTTTGAATTGCGTCGAAGAGCACTAGCTCTTCTTGCTTGTGTCTTTGTAAAAGTATGTGCAAGTGACATGTGTTCGAAAAAAATAAGTTACAGTTTGAGTGGCAAGAGAGAAATGGTACGTGATGAAATAATGAGCCGAATTAGCGATTGTCCCTCCAGTCGAAATATCATTAGAATGACTCCTAGAACTTTTTTAGAATTATGTGCTATGTTAGAAAGAGAGGCTGGCCTGCAACCCACGCGATGGTCAAGTGTGGAAGAAATGGTTGCAAAAACTCTATATATATTGACACACAATACAAAAAATCGTGAAGTGAATTTTTGGTTTAGGCGTTCTGGTGAGACAATTAGTCGCCATTTTCATCAAGTTTTGACAGCTATCGTTGACTTAGAAGAAAAATTTTTGGTTCAACCTAATGGCTCAACCATTCTTCCTGAAATTGAAAAAGATAAGAAATTCTTCCCATATTTTAAGGATTGTGTCGGTGCTATTGATGGAACACATATACGAGTCAAGGTGCCTTCTTTAGATGCTCCTAGATACCGTGGTAGGAAGGAATTTCCGACACAGAACGTGCTAGCAACATGTACCTTTGATCTAAAGTTCACTTATGTGCTCCCTGGATGGGAAGGTACTGCATCTGACTCAAGAATCATTAAGAATGCATTAACACGAGAAGATAAGCTTATAATTCCTGAAGGTAAATATTTTACCAATTTTGATAAAGTTTATATTTGTGAATGTAAAATTATTATAGTAATTATTTTCCTTTATGATAGGTAAATATTACCTTGTCGATGCTGGATTCATGTTAACAAGAGGACTTATAACACCTTATCGAGGAGTTCGTTATCATTTGAAAGAATATTCAAAACAGAATCCCCCCCTAAATTATAGAGAGTTATTTAACCTTCGACATGCAAGGTTACGCAATGCCATTGAACGTGCTTTTGGTGTTTTGAAAAAAAGATTTTCCATTCTATCCAATGCAACTGAACCTACATATGGAATCAAAGCACAAAAAATGATAATATATGTATGTTGCATTCTTCATAACTTCCTTATGAGTATGGACCCTATTGAAGATCTTTTAGAGGAAGTTGATGCTGTTCTTACAAGAGAAAACCATTCAAATGATAATAACCGTGCTCAAAGAGGGGACAATAATGAGGCTGCTCGAGGTGAACTTATTAGAGAAAATATAGCCACTCAGATGTGGGCAGATTATCAGGAACATCTGACTGCTCTTGAGGATGAACTTGATGATTGAATTTTGATTTTCTCAATAAGTTAGACTCTATTGTATCATTATAGACATTTAAATATGTTGTATTATTACATTGACTTATATTGAGTTTAATTGAGGTTTGATCAGATATTAAAATTTATTGTTTTATTGACTTTTATTTGCTTTGTATTATTTGTTTAGTTTGCTATTGAAATTTGATTAGTTTTTCATATTGGGATTGGTATTATGTGATTATATTGTTATATGATAGGATGGCACCAAACAATAATAAGGAGATTGTGAATTGGACAAGATTAATGGATGATGCCCTCGTTGATGCTTTCATGAATGAATATAATGAGGGTCACAAAGTTAATGGCACTTTTACAACTACAGCTTATGATAACATATGTAAATATTTGAGTGCTTTATTCGGTAAACAAATTGACAAGGAAAAGGTGAAAAATCGATGGAAGACTTTAAAGAAAAACTTTTCAGATGTTTATGACATTTTCAAAAGTTTGAGTGGGTTCGCTTGGAATCCAATAACTCAAGTATGGGATACTGAGCCTGAAGTTTGGGATGCATTAATTGAGGTAAATTTCTTACATATGCATTGATTATATTATTATTTGAAAATGAAAAAGTATGCATTTGCAATTGAATTGCTTTTGTAATTTCACTTGTTTCAGGCTAAACCTAAAGCAGCATTGTGGAGAACTACTCCTTTTCCAAACTACGAAAAAAATGATGATATTATATGGAGTAGATAGAGCTAATGGAGATGAGAGTGAGACAGCCCGTGAGTGGAGAAAGAGACATCGTTCTCAGGAAGAAGTCACTGAAACCGTCAATGACATTAACAATATTGTCTCACAAAATAGAGCCACAATTAATGTTGAGCTTGATGGACAAGAAAACTCACCGAGACAAGAAAACTCACCTGATCAAGAGCACTCACCCACTATTAATAGTGCATGTAGTAAGAAGACAAAAAGGGTGTCTAAGGAGAAGGAGGCTAGTATAAATGAGTTGACAAAGCAGTGTTAGCTGTGGCTGAGGCAATTCAACAAGGAAATGTGATGATAGGACAAAGTTTCAAGAAGGTGCCACAATTGTCAGGTGAAGAAATTTGGAAAATGCTTGAAGAGTGTGGGATTGATGCTGCAAGATTACCTGACATATATTGGTTTCTTATGGCTGATAATGATAGGCTTAGAGCAGCAACTCAATGTCCAGCACCAGTACGAAAGGACGTGATAATGAGGATGTTTTATAGTTCTAATTAGATGATGACTTTTATTAATAATTTTTGTATATTTTGTTAGCTAAATGTCAAAATGTGATTCTTAAACATGATCAATATATTAGATGTTATTGCCCAATATATTTTGTTATTAATGATGGCAATTATTGTTCAATTGTTATTAAAGACTAGCATTGTCTTGTGCAAATTGGGGGCATAAAATCATTAGTTTCATTGATTTTTTTCACAAAGTATTGTTTAATATTTAGATTAATTTACTAATAAGATTATTTAATAGTATTATTTAATTTACTTATTTGGGGTGAAGAAGAAAAAAAAAATTGACAAGATTAGGGTAATTTAAAAATAAATTATACAATTTTAGTTTATATGTAAAATAATTTGTGTGATAAAAAGATAAAAAAATATTATTGTACAAGGGTATAATGGTAATTTAATTATTACCTTCCCTCCCCTCCCCTCCTAAACCAAACAAAGGATCATTAAAAATTCCTCCCCTCCCCCCCCTCTAATCAAACCAAATAAAGTAGCTTAGAAACCCTCCCCTCCCCTCCCCCGCCTCCCTTCCCCTCAAACCAAACATAGCGTTAAGGCTCTGTTTGGTTCAAGGGGAGGGGATGGAAGGGGAGGGAGGTGAGGGAGAGGGGGGGGGAGAAGGAGGGGAGGGGAGGGAAGGAGAGAGGAGGGGGAGGGGAGGGGGGCATCCCCCCAATTTGGGGGGTTAGGTTTTGGAGGGGACCCCCCTGTCTCTTAGGCCTTGTTTGGTTGGGGGGGAGGGGAGGGAAGGGGAGGGGCTCCTCTTCCCTCCCCTCATTTGGTTAGGAGGAGGGGAGCCCCTCCCCTCCCCTCCCCTCCTTTGGTTAGGAGGAGGGGAGGGAAAAATTTTAAAATTTTTCCTCCCCTCCCCTCCAAAGCCTCCCCTCCAAATTGGGGGGGAGCTCCCCTCCCCTCCCTTCCCCCTCCTCCCCCTCACCTCCCCTCCCCTCCTCTTCCCTCACCTCCCCTCCCCTCCCCTTCCCTCCCCTCAAACCAAACAGACCCTTAGCCTATGTTTGGTTGGGGGGGAGAGGGGAGGGAAAATTTTAAAATTTCCCCTCCCCCTCCACCAAACCAAACATTTTCCCTCCCCTCCCTCCCCTCCCCCCCAACCAAACATAGGCTAAGAGACAGGGGGGTTAGGGGAGACTAAAGACCATGAGAACAGTGATCCTTTCCTGCCACAATTTGAACATGGAGAGTAACCATAAAAAGAACAAATAGCAGCCATCTTACTAAAATCGTATAATATCATGTTACATAGGAACTAAAATTGCATCATATATTATTCAATGTACTTAGAAATCATTGCTACCATAAATGCACACATGTACATGAGAATTGGATCATATCTAATCAGGTTTTGATAATTCAATTTCATACACAGGAGAGATAGAGAGAGAGAGAGAGAAACCTAACTGGACGGCCTTGTTTTATGATTCCTGACTTAGCCACTGCAATAGTCTCCAAAGAACCCCCAAGAGCAGCCAAATGCTCCTCCCCAACGGTGGTAATGACAGATGCAGCAAGTCCAGAGTGGGATATAACATTAGTTGCATCACGTGCACCTCCCAACCCAGCCTATCCAAAATTAAAAAGAAATAAATGACATAATTATTAGTATCACATTAGCCATGTTGAAATTTCTTGTTATTGTCAACAAAAATCCAAGAGTAAAGAAGTTGTTAGATAAATATATCAAGTGTAAGTAAATATAACCTCAATAACTGCAATGTCAACTTTCTCTTCAGCAAATAGGATGAATGCCATTGCAGTGAAAACCTAGCACACCTCCACCATTAAGTAGAGTTAGTCAATCACTATAACAGTTGGTTTTGTGTATACAGGATAAAACATCAATAACTGAAAGTGAAGAACAGAGATAAAATACAATCAAATCAAAATATCCACCAGACCTATAATAGAGTGTTAGAGAAGTATAAGCATTAAAATGAAATTATGAACTCAAAACACAAAAACGTCTATTTATGAAAATGACCAAATAAATTGAATGCGCTAACTTTCATGCTACCAACAGATCAGACATGTTCTCATCAGCAAGTAGAAGACTAAATAATATCCTAAAGTTAGCACACTAATTTCTTGATCAAGTTTAGGATTTTATATAATTGAAATACCTCAAAATGACTTAAGCAACCCTTTTCCTCCCTCATTGCTTGGTCAAGATTTTGCCTTATCCTTTGAAAAAGGCAATTCAGTATTTTTGCTGCGACAGGATCGCCAGATCTTCCTAGTAAAATGCGTTCCCTTATAGTCTGGATATGTGGGCTGCTTGAGAAAAATAAAGCCTGTCGTCATTGATAAAGTTGTAATGAAGCCACAGTTAAAGCTGAAAGTACAAGCAAGCGCAAATACTAAAATCTAAAATCCTCTGAAAATTATATGGCACTCTACCTAGTATAACAACCTACAGAATAGCCTTCAGTCCTCAGAATATCAGAAATGAATGCAGCCGTCGATCCTTTTCCCTTTGTCCCAGCGACATGAATGGCCTACAATTGCAGCAAGTCGGTGAATTTAACAACCAGTTAATTCACGGGTATAAGATGTGAAGCAATCGCGCTGTAATTATCATACATTTCTTTTTTCTTTTGAACAACAAAAATTCTTCTTTACTTCGAAGGTTCGTGATTTTCATGAGCTACGCATTCAGTAGTTCTGCTGCTCACTTTAGCCTCGTTTAATGGGTGAGATGAATCTTATAAAATAAATTTCTAACTTCATAATAAAGAACACTTTGCTCTTACTAGTCCTCAATTAGTTAAGAAAACGACATTAAACATCAAAGAAGGATACAAAGAGAACAGTCGAACCTTGAATTTAGACTGAGGGTTATCAAAACGCTCCATTAACCTTCTCATTCTACCAAGATCGAACCCTTGGCGAGAATCCGTGCCTGCCCCTAGGGGCACACCCAATCTCTCATAGTTCTTCAGAGAGTCAAGATAGTCCATGAAGTCCTTCATTTCTGGATCTTCTGCGTGTGAACACATGGTTTGTTTTGCCCCCGTTTGCCAGGGGAATCTGGTGCATTTGGAGGGAAAAAAGGTTCTGCCTCGCAGAAGCACGGGTTTTGCAGAGGAGAGCGTGGGCATTATCAGGCTCGCAAAGCAGCTCCGCTCGTGAAGTGCTGGATAAAAATAAAGATACTGTAATTTCTAGTTCTTTAAATCAGGACCGTAGAAGTAAAATGATTTAGTGCTTGTTTAGATTTGTTTGTATAATCAATTATTGAAGTTCAAATCATGGTTTGGGTAAAAAATATCCAAAAGCCTCGAAATGAACATGATCAATTAATTGACTGCAAACTGCGTTTTAGCATAAGCTGAAAATAGTAGCTTCTTCAATTCAATTTTATGGTTGCAACATTTATTATGTGAGAGAAGCTCCTAGCTGCTCAAATATACCCAATATCCTTAAATCACATGCTCTTTTTATCTCAAATTATAAAATACTTTTAAATAAAATCTTACATGTCAATAAATCTTATTAAATATACTTTACAATCATATTTTTTTAAGATAAAAGTATAAATTTTAAAAATATTTTTCATTTAATGTTTCGTTAATAAAAGAATATTGAAGAAAGAGAATATGTGAAAAAGATAATATTAAAAAAATATTATTAATGAAACTTTATTTATGAAAAATCCCTTAATTTCACTTGTAAATGATAAAATATTACTTGTAAATTTCCTTAACATTATTTGATAAGACTAGAATATTACTTATGTAATATTCATCCTGTGTAAAATCATCTACAACTTGTTAAGTTACTTGTAAATTACTGTACATTAATTTACTTGTAAATTGCCTTATATTACTTGTGAAGTCTATGATGTTACTTGCAAATATGGCTTTTCTCAAATGCCATTTAGTTTTGTTTAAACACTAGGGCAATAATGTCATTCTACTATAAAACTTAATTTCATGCCAGTCTTCAAAATTTGTAGTGTTATTTTAGAAATATTTGAGTGTGATTGAAAAATATGTACCTACCATGGTCCTAGAATGAAATTCTCCATTAAGTTTATTTCAGTTTTTGATTTGGTCATTTTAAGATTAATTTTTATCTATTTGGTCCCTAGTATTTTTTTTATAGATTAATGACCATTATAAATTCTAACTTATTCTGTGAATAGCATCATGGATTCCTAAATTAATGAAATATGCAAAAATTCCCTTAATTTTTAAATTTAAAGCATATGAAACTTTATCATTAAATTAAAAAAAAGGATAGTTATTTTTATAGTTGTTAGGCCCAATCGTATATTGATATGACACTCATTTTAACTTTTTAAAATAATAGCCATTTTTTTCAATTTGATGATAGTATTTCAAGTCTTGAAATTTAAAAGTTGAAAATTTTTTATATATATTTTAAGAGTTTAAGGTCTAAAATACAATTCATGCAATAATTTAGGCTCGAGTATACTTATTAACCATTTCTTAAATTATTATGTGAGTCTTTTAAATTTTAAATACAAATTGACTTTTAAAATAATTTAATGTATAACGTATATTGATGACTTAACAAATTAACATTTAAATTAGTTTAATTTTTATCAGTATAATCCTTTCAATTGTGTTTTGTTCTCTTGCTTTTTAAAAAAAAAATTCAAAGTTTATTTTTTCTATCTAAATAATTATACTTTTTTTTAATTTACTTGTCTTCCATCAATATTTTATTATCAAAGTTAACAAATTTTAACAATATAACCTCTTTTTTTAAATAATTATGACCAAATAGATAATTAAAATAAACTTAAAATTAAATTAATAAAAATTCAATTTAAAAGACTAAATCATGAACCGAGACAACTTTAAAAAATTAAAAGTTGTATTATCTTTTAAAACATATAGTTCAATGTTTTTGCTTCAAAGCCTGTTGATGTACCAGCTAAATGCCATGGTTATGTTATATTTATTGAAAAATACAAGCCCATCAATAATAAAGGTAAATGTCGTTTAGCGGTAAGAATACCACGCTGTGGCTGTGGCCGTGGAGACCTGGGCTCAAATCCCAGCAGCCAAATTACATCTAAATTTTTGCCCTGATCATATTAAATAACTCTTCTGAGTGTTTCTTGGAAGCTAAAACAGTCGTTGACTACCTGCTTCAGATTTCGGACGGGGAAGAAACGGTCGCTGGAAAGTGCATTGACGTTTCGACTATCAATGGAACAGTTTTACAGCAACCGGGCAACAAAAACGTCTCAAAACATTCAGCTGTTTTCATGTCGAAAAAATAAATTTTTCTAGCGTTCAAAAATTTATTTAGATGCATACGTCAAATAACATACGAATGGCATTTTTTTTAATGAATGCCCTAAAAGGTTTCCAAAATTCTTAAAAATTAGAATATTCAGGTACAATGGCTTCCATATGGGAAACTCGTAAATATTTTATTCAGTGACTGCTTTTGGGAGAACAAAAGACGCCACAAAATTTCTGCCACCCACAAGCTGCCTTACAAGAAAAGAAAGCTTAAAAAGTAACGCTTTAACTAGGGTGAAATAACCTATTTCCTGCCACTCATCTGTTCAAGAGAGAAGTGTCTACCATTGTTGACAACGGATTAGCCTAGACTTCCGCAAAAACTTTCAGTTTCCAAGATTCTCAACCAAGGTCAGGTGGAATGATTGCCTCCGGAGGGGGAAAAAAAAAAAGAACCAAGGATGCAAAAAATAAAGGAATCTGATCTCACAAGTATCAAGATGTTGCGTAGTTGTTGTGTAGAACATGCTTCACAACTTCATAAAACGAAACCACAATTCCAACGGAGGGCCCCGCTCGTCCAATTCGTGGACCAACACCTGTAAAGAGTCCCTTTAAGCCTCCTCCTCTGAAAACGAGAGAGGGGGGGGGGGATATCATTAAACATCCAGTGCACGGAAGGCACAAAACACATTAACAACACATATCGACACCCTCAACCCAAACAATGTTCCGCATTAAAAATGTGTAGCTCAAGGAACACAGCATTAATTAAACTATATATCAAATCAGATCGAGCAACTTGCTCGATCTTTTCACATGGCTCCATTCTTGGCAGTAACACATGCAATATATATATCACAGGGAAAGGTGTAAATTTCCACCTTTTTGTATCATCTACGAACACCTCCCTCAACTTTTCAATGAAATATACTCCGCTAAATGATTACCCTTAAAGTTAGACCTTCCCATGAAGTTTCAATTTAACACCAAAAAAATAATACAAGGAAATTATTAGAAAGATGGAACTCCTTCCTGGTTTGCCAACCGTCTTGTATAAGGCTCCCAGTAAAAGGAGTAAACTTTTGGATGGCCTGGGCAATGATTTCTTTTGAGGGGTGGGTGGTGGGGGCGAAACAGGAAGGGTGTAATATACATCTGATGAAATAAGAAAAGATCTGTGCACCCCAGTTAAACAGGAAGGTTTAAGAATTGTTCAGGCTGATGAATGATGCATTGTTAGCGAAACAGATTTGCAGTGATTTCTTTTTTTCAAGGGGGAGGGGACAAGGGGCTAAACAGGAGGGTATATGCATTTGATGAAAAGGGAAAAAGATCCGTGCAGGCCTGTAACACAGAGAGGCTTAGGAATTGTTCAGGCTGATTGATGAACGATGCATTGTAAGCAAAACATATTTACAGAATTTTGGACAATGGGAATAGCTCGTGTAAAGCTAGAGTCATGAAGCCTAAAATCTGTGATTGTCTAAAGGTGGGAAGGATAAACCTGGATCCAATGTTGACAATGTCATGTTGCTATGGAAAGAGATTCTAAAATCGAAAGATTTGGTTACCAAGAATCTTTCCTAGAGGTCCGGAACTAGAATTACCATACCTATAAACCACCATTTATGGTGACCGATGCTATATCAGCCAAATCAATAGCTTACAGTGGCAGATCTAATTTAGTATGACAAATGGATTGGAACAAGGATGCTCTGACCCAGTTTTATACAGAGCAGGTTCAGCAGGTACTTATAAGAACCCCTTTCTTAGTCTTTCATGAAGTGGATCAATTGATTTGGAGTATCAAAGCCTCTTACACCCATACCACCAAAAAGGGGTATGAGATTGCAACAGGGACATCAAATCTTGACAAACCACCAGAGATTTGGGAGTCTTGCTGGTAAAGATGCCAGATAAAATGATTTTATGAAAGCAAGCCATGTGACAAATGAAAGTTCGACTCAGTTAACTTTGAAGGTTCTAAGCAACCAATACTAATTTTCCATACAAGTATTAACCCAACAGTTGAAATGAACTCACAATGCCATGCGACTAATATTAGGCTAACAGGGCACTCAAAATGTAATATCTATCTGCATGCAGAGAATGTAAATTGGCAGTCATACCTCCAAACCTCCATAAGTGTCTGCCTTGTAGTCATTTTCAAAGCCCTGGCTGGGTCCCTCTGGATAGTTTTTAGGAGAGATTAATAACATTAGAATAGGATCTAACATTTTTAGAATTCAGACAAAGTAGAAATATGCATGCAAATTCGACAGTTCCTTCTGATGTATAACAATAGCAATAGTTTAGCTGTGGCAAAACATTTCCAGTTTAGAGAAAATTAACTTAGGTTATCCAAAAAGAAACAACTTAGCAAGTAATTAATCAAGTCAACATATGGTCGATGCACAAACAAATTACCTGGTTAATTGTTCCTAAACTTGTTTTTCTTCTACCAATCAATTACTATACTATATCTTACCCAATTTATGCTATTCGCGGATGATATAGTTCTTATAACAGAGACAAGAGAAGAGGTTAATTGCAAACTTGAGTTATGGAGGAGGACATTGGAGTCGAAAGGTTTTCGTTTGAGTAGAAGTAAGACGGAATATTTATATTGTAAATTTGGTAAAGGACTATTTGATAATAATTTGGAAATGAAATTAAGAGATCAAATTATACCTCAAGTGAAAAAGTTTAGATATTTGGGAGCCATTATTCAAAATGATGGCGAAATCAGTGGAGATATTTCACATAAAATTCAAGCTGGATGATTTAATTGGAGAAAAGCTAAAGGAGTTATTTGCGACCGTAAGGTGCCTAATAAACTTAAAGGAAAGTTTTATCGCACTGCTATCAGACCGGCAATGTTATATAGTAGTGAATGCTGAGCTCTAACAGGACAACAAGAGCATAAAATTGGAGTAGCAGAGATAAGAATGTTACGATGGATGTGCGGACATACACGTAAAGATAAAATTCGAAATGAGCACGTACGTGAAAAAGTGAGGGTGGCACCTATTGAGGAAAAAATGGTAGAAAATCGGTTGAGATGGTTTGGGCATGTACAAAGAAGACCAAGGGAGGCACCAGTGAGAAGAGTGGAACATATAACTTTGAGTCCGATTAAGAGAGGTAGAGGAAGGCCAAAGAGAACACTCTTGGAAGTTATTGAACGCGATCTCTTAATTAATAATATTCCTAAAAGCTTGATAAATGATAGAGCACAATGGCGTCTTGCAATCCATGTAGCTGACCCCACCTAGTGAAATAAAGGCTTGTTGTTGTTGTTGTTGTTGTTGTATCTTACCCAATTTAAAAAAATAATAATGTGTAACTCTTCCCTACAGTATAAATGAGAGAAGAGAGTAAGGTTTTGAGTTTAGCAAAAAGAAGAAAATTTTAAACATACCTCAATCTGCCTTCGAGTTTTAGCAACATCTAACGGACATGTAGCACCAGCAGCAAGGCTTCCTGCAACAAAACCAGCTGAAAAATTTGCACCAAGGACAACCATTACATTGGCTTCATCACCTCCAACGAGATTAAGAAGTTTTCTTCTCATCTGGAAAGCACAAACATATAATTGGCATAAGTAAATAGAGAATGTTGTTGATGAACACAATTAACTATTTCTCCGATAAAAGAATGAATCTCACTGGTTCAAGTGTTGACCAGCAAATGGCAGAGAAGGGAACGTCACGAGCAAGCTGAGAACCCATGCCAGTCCATAAGACACGATAACCTTGCACTGCAATGAAATAAAGCAATTCAACCACAATTACATGATATAAAGAATCCTTGTTTAACAAGATTGTGGACCTCATTCTTTGCACATAGTCTAAGGTAAGTTGAATTGTTCATGGACTATGAATAGTACACCATATAAATTATACATATACATATTAATATTGATATTGATGATTTGCTTTACACGTTGTCTTGCAGACATTTACATGTTGTTAAAGGATTCAGCATAGGGAGTGCCAAAAGCCCAGCTTAGACAAATCTCTGAAACTGAAATAAAATTACTCATGTAAACATCACAAAATTGGGTTTTAAGTTAGCCACTTGTTCCCAGAGCTAGATACAATTCTGTATTTGAGTCTATTTTCAAGTTACACAATACAACCTACTTTCATGCACCATCTTGTTCTCGAACAGAACTAGGATTAACCCTATAAATGAGCATCCAAGTCTGGTCAACCCTAAAAATTTACAAATATATATCAGTCAACAGTAAAACTATGCACGTACAGCTGTTCTGGAGAGTAGTTGTGCTCTTTACTTGTGAGACAACACCCAAGAGAGTCTGGAACACTCCAGGAGGCTTTCCAACAATTTGAATCTCTTTAAAAGCCTGCAACAGAGATAACAAAAGAAAAAAAGACAAAAACAATTAGGCCCCATAAAGCTTGCGGAATGGGAAATATAGCTGAAAATACTTGAATTCACAAAGACCATAAGGATTCCAACAGGATAAATGAATGAAGCAGCAAGGAAACTACAGGAACTACAAGTAATCTAATTCCCCTGCAAATGCATAAGGTCAAGGGACCAGCAAAGAAAGGGCTATTCTCCAGCCACAACTGAAGGTTGAAGACAAGCCTTTCCCAATGGAATTGAAATATCATACGTCATGGCAACGCTGACTAGATACAAGTGAAATGTTTGGAACAAAGCAAACCAGGCAGACCACAGGAGCAATAAGCAAAATGCAGCCTTAAACAGAGTTGACCAACAAACAAGGTTAATCACATCATTTAATGAACAAAAGAATAGATGGTGAATACATATTATATCTGATACACCCACAAGATCTTAGACCTCAAGGAAAAGAACTGCCACAAGAACCCTAGCAGCTACCACTATCCAACCTATTACACCAATCTCCCATAAATAAGGTAGATAACAAGTTAATTTTGCAAAATCTAAAATACCTGCATGCGCGTTCTAGCAAGCTCAATAGGATAACAAGTTGCACAAGCTAGAGAGCGTGCCAATGAGCCTGCCACTAAGGGTACATACGGAATTGTGGGTGGAACGTTTTTTGCTGCAAATTCCTCCAACCAATTGCGGAATATGTCATAGCAAGGAAGGTAAATTCCTACCTGATGAAGATATTGTGGGAAAAAAACCAAACGATTAATTACATTGTCCTGCATGCTCAACATATAATCTTATTACCAAAAAACAGAAAAATGACTGGTGAACCTACAGTTGGTACAGCAAGTGCTAGGCCTGCATTTGTTCCCCTCCACAGCCTGGCAAATCCTTCCTGCAAAACCACATTTGGATTAGTGGAAACATGAAAGATAAGAGACAACAGCACATGCAAGGATATGACTGCTCAAAAGGCAGATTTACTGAACATCCAAAAGCATTAACACAGATTCTGGTACAACTTTCCTCCGGTATAACAAAGCACGATATGCATAACCACAAACCTGTTGTACAATTTTGTAGAGAACATCCAGTGTTCCTTTGTACCGAAAACACTCGGGAGGACAAATTGATACAGTTCCATGGATTCCTGCCCGCGTACATGATGGAGAACATCTTAAATCTGCAAACAACTGACACACAATAAAGAAAATGTCAAATTAATTCCCGATGCTAAGAGGACAGGGTGGTGAATGGAGGACAGGGATGACTTCCATGTTACTTAGCAAACATAAAATCAACAGAAGTAACAAGCAAATAATCAATCAAAGAAAATAAGGGATCAATAACTAGCATATAAAAAACTACAAAGGTATCAAAACAATGTACGACAACATCATTTAATCCTAGAGTGTGTGTTTAGGAGCCAAAAAAATGTGTTTTTGACTTAAGTGGCCCAAGGACTGCTTCAGTCAAAATGTAGTTTTCACAGCTCCTGCTGCAAAAACAAACGTGTCTAGAATCTTATAATACAAGTGCCTGATCCAGAAACTACATGCTGAGTGAATCCGAATAAGAGGGACAGAGAGCAAATATAGAAATGTTAAGACCCAAAATAAAGCCTCAAGTTATAAATATTTTCAGGAGGGTGCAAGAAGAATGTAATGTTCCACACATACCATATTTGGTCCAAAATGAGCCATGCGATAGGTCATGTTACCAAGAGGATGAGAATAATTGACCCCAGCAGCCTGTGCCTGCAACCTTGTCTGCCAAGACATGAAGACCAGGTAATGTAATGCAAGAAGTATGTAATGTTCCACACATAACATATTAGAATATACCAGCTACTAAGCTTGGCCCCAATTGACAGCTCTAGTGAGTGCTGTCGCTATGATACGAGAGGTAAAACAAGTCTAACACAGTGGTACCACGCAAGAAAAAATTTACAAGATTAACATATGGAAGACGACCAACTAAAAAAGCGAAATGTCCATTCCTGGCACACAAATATAATTTAGTGCATATTAATAACGATATGACCTATCTCTTCCCCTGCTTAAATTGCAATTCGTAGAATCAGGTCAGAGCATTGCAGAAAATAGATATGATTATGATCATGGATTGATGCATTTCAAACTTCTAGACGGTCTCAAGAGGGAATAGATAATAAATATACAAGAAATATATAAGCAAGTTTTTTGTTCGACATTGAACAACAGATTAGCAGATAAGCATTTTAATACTGCGTCTATAATTTATAAATACAAGAAATAGCATGTGTTTCGTTTTCTCAGTCAAAAATGCGGGGAAATAATTAAAAACTTGTAGTCCGGACTCCATTTGAAGAAATGTTATGCTAATTACAACATGAATCACGAATCATTCATCTCTTATTGTCATACTTGCTCAGCAAACAATCACAGCGAAACCGAAACGCGTAAACCCGAAAGAAGTAGCAATAATTTCACCTTAGCAACATCAAGAGGATTAACAATGATTGCGGAGAGAAAGGCGGCGCCCGCGGCAGAGAAAGCTCGTTCTCCGACTCCCAGTTTACCATCATCTGATGTTCGTTTCATAAGAGAAGAGCTTTCCTCGCCATCTCGACCAACACCCGCGCTGGTGCATCCCAACAAGAAGGAACCTTGCCCATCCATTCCAGCCACTGAGGTTTGCCCGGAAGGCATCCATTGATTTTGGATTCGCTCTGAATCCACCATTCTCTTGGTTTTCCTTATTACTTAGTCTCCTACCAAAAAAAGGGCCAAAAACCTCCCCCGTTATAGGAAAGAAAAGAAAGAACAAATAGGTCCCAAAATACTTGGAGAAGGGGAAAGCAAAAGGTTAACCAGACAAAAGGGTATGTAAGGTTGTGGGGCTAATGTAATTAGCGCCACGTTTGTTGACAAAAGATAGGCGTCCTTTTTCGGCGGTTAAAAACCTAGAAATCGCTTCAGCGAAAGGGAGGGAGTCAAAGGCTCTGCTTCGGAATGTCGGACTGCGAGGGAAATAGGAAGATGGAATTGGTGCTGTGTTGCGGCTGAGATCAACCTGGCGCCTTTGATTGGGGAGCGAAACCAAGAGAGGTTTGCGCATGAGTATGATGAATACGGCACAATGAAATATCGGGGTTCCAAACAACACCTTACAATAACGGGGTTGATAGGGGCATCACTTTAACTTTGGATGTTGCCCTTCTTGCTCCTTGTTCTGCGGCTTTCCCTAATGTAGGTCCTAGGCGTATAGGAAATGGATGTGAGCGGTATTATTCCAAGGTAAAACTTATAGTACCCTTGTATTCAATTAAATTGTTGTAAATAAATTTTAGTATGTTAATAAAATAAACAATAAAAATTTATTATAAAATAAATAATTTATAAAAAAATTCACATTTAATTATAAACGGGTACATTAAATATAAAATTTTACTGTATCCCAAAACATAGATATTATTCCTCCCTCACTTTAATATTAAAAGATATTTTTTAATTAGCCTATCAATAATTTAGTTAATTATTTTTAAATTTACACACTTGTTTATGTTTATTCTTATTTAATAAGGTATCATAATTAAAAAATATTATTGATTTTCCTTCTAATTAGGAATAATTTTGAAAAAAATATCACTAATTATACCTTAAAATACTTAAACTATTTTATATTTCTTAATATATTATCTTTAAAATATTTTATATTTTTGAATGGATTGTTACTTATTCAAGTTTTTTTTAATATAGAGTTTATCATAATTTTTATTGTAATATAATATAATTGATTAAGTCCCCTGAACAAAAACGGCAGCAGAGCAAATTCCAAAATCTAGATTTTGTTTGATTTCTATTTTAAAAAAATATTTTCTATTTTTAAAAATAAAAATAAAAATGTTTAAAGAAGTTTTTCAATTAAAATAATTTTTAAATATATTTACATTTTTAAATTTTTAAAATAAAAAATATGAACAATTTAAAATTTAAAAAAAAAATGTACCACAATTGACTATTTAAATCTATAGTCAGCTGTAACCAATTACTATTATAGGTTAGCTATTATTTATTATTGGTGATGATCACTACTAATTGATTTCTTTAACTATAAAATTATTTGTTCACATTAATGTAATCAAATATGCTCCGTTCATTTAAAATTATAAAGTATTTTCTAATAAATTAAATATTAAAAAATATAAAGTATTTTTAATAGTTTAAAGAGTATTCAAAAATATCCCTTAATAAATAAATTACTTTATATTTATTTTGTAATAAAATAACATATTAAATAGAGATAAATATGAAAAGACGATATTAATTAAAAGATAAATAACTATTTTATTTAGATGAGATTTGATTAAAAATATCTTATATTTTTAACTGAGGGAGTACTTCGTAATTTTATTTTGAAAAAATAATTTTTAAAAAGTGATCTTGCAAAATAACTTATAAAAATAAAATAATAATAACAAAATGAAACAATCTCCTACCTTGTTTGAACGACGTATTGCTATTCCAAATTTCCAATATTCCATCACGGCATTTTACCCTCCAAGAGATTTTCAACATTTAAATTTTTGGGAAAAATATAATTAATTTTTATAGAATTTTCTCCCTTTCCTGTTAACCCTCCTTTGTAAACTAGAGGAGTTTGAAATAATTATAAAAATCGTCCCCTTTTCTTTTACAAATACCTTCCCTCCATTCAGCCAAACACTGCCTTAAACCTAAAGGGCAGAGAGGATGGGAGGCTCATCGGCCACCGCTCATGCTCCGGTCCAGACTCCGGGGTCTGAGTCGGCGCAGCATGGGTGGAAATCCGACCACGTGGAGGAATGCGCCATCTCAACGCCTGCTCGCTGGATACGCGTCACAAACTAAACCACAGATCTCTTGGTACACATTTTTTTTTTTTTGGCTAAACTAACTGTGGTCATTTTTATTTTCTCACTCCTATTTTTTTAAGTTATTTTTATTAATTTTATTAATATCAATATAAAAAAATATAATAAATATAAATGTATAAAATTTTAAATATATCTTTATATAATAAATTTAAAAAGTGATATCATGTTATTTTTCTCTTTTTCATGAAAGATGATTTTAAAAATATTTTTTAAATGTTATTTAAAAAATGCATCATAGTTTATAAATAAGATCAAATGAACTTTCTAAAATGTATCTTGTAGATAAGACCGAAGGGAGTCTAATTTAAAACAAAAATATATTATATTTTCTCGTTTTGAAATAAATCGTGGATGTGGACGTGGAAGTAATTAATGTATCCGTTCATGTAATTGAGATTTTAATTATATCTTATGTTAGTTTATCAAATTATTATTAAAAAACAATATCCTATAAAATAATCATGAACATTTTCTTATTTTTTTATTACGATAATTTGAATTCTTAACATCATTTTATGCCCCATCACAGCCTTCCCATTTGTGATAGTATAAAAGAAATTAAGAAATCATGCTTTACATCCGTGGAACGGGTTATTAGAAATTTCAACTAACCACCTGTTTAGAGATTGAGAGGTTGAGACACGTGTTTTTTAGAAAGGGCAAAAAATATTACTGTTTCTTTATTTCTTAACAATGTCGGTTGAATTGAATTGCTTTCTTAGCAAATCCAATGCTATTTCTCCACGTCTATCCTTGGTCTTATGCATTCGCAGCATCATGCTTTGAATCAGGAATTTTTCTTTGAATCAGTTTGGGAAGGTCACTAGTTTTGGGAATTTGAGAATCATACATATCAAACGTGGTTGCCTCTCTTCTAACCAATAATATCTTGTAGATTAATATATTACAAAGCTTTTGAACAAATTTAATAGCTGAAGTGTTAAAAAAATTTGGTCAGAATGGCTCTTCTTACTCACTTTTCCTTTTTCCTTTTTTATTTTTTTGTTTTATCACTTACTCTGTAAACTTTCCTTCATTGTTGATATACGTGCATTTTTTGTTCAAAAAAGAGGTCACCTAATTAATATTCTACTGTTTTTGAATGGACAGTTATTGCCAAATGAAATGAAATATTAAATCGATACAATGTGCATGCGTGTTGAGGAATGGCTTGTTAATTTATATTTTCTATAATTATGCCTATTCACGTAGACACCTGATGCATTTTGATTGTTCGTTTCATGTAGACAATGTTATAAACACGTAATATTTCCCTGAAATATCATCGGGGCGTGTTATAAAGAAAATATTTGATATCAGGTATATAAAATTTTCCATAAAAATATCTACATGTTTAAAAAATAAAAACATGGATGCTCCTAAATTTTAAAGTTCAATTTTTTTTTTTTTTACCCTTTTGTTTGCTAACAAATTTCGAGCGAACGTGTTTCATTGCGACGCCCTTGCACCAAAATGTAAGACTGAACCTTGCCGATACATCAACTGAATTTTAGCCCCCGCGTTTGGAAATTTAAATTTAAAACGAGAGAGACAATACAGCACTTTCATGTTATATTCAGAGACGAGAAGGAACCGTGTGGTGATTTTTATCTAAATTTAATCTAGACTCAGGATTAATTAGCCTGTCATCGCCAGAAATTCAAAGAGAGTCAACACAGTTATCATTTTCTAAAATTGTCAGAAATTACGCAACTGGTATACTAACGGATCCAAATTCCAGTTCATATATTAAGCAGCTTGGGAAGGAGGCTCGAGGCATCCAATATTGCTTTAATAAAATTCCTCGTCTCGTTCTCCCTGATCGGCATGTCGCTCGAAGAGAATAATGGCACAACAGTTTACAAGCGGACCTGCCTGATTCTACCGCCCCAGATGAGTTCCAGGGGCATATGGGTGGGCCATCACGGGGAATTCATCCAAAGCCCTCTGCCAACTCTGCTGATGCAAATGTGCATTGTTTTTTTTGGGACCCTCTTCTTCCACTGCTTACTCACTCGTTTAAGATTCCCCAGATTCACTTCCATGATCATCGTAAGTCCTCCTATCATCATCATATCCTTTTTTGAATTTCGTCTAGCTTTTTGCTTAATAATTAATGGGGCGTTTGAACGACTAATATGCAGATGGGCTTAGTCCTAGGAAATACCTTTGGCAAAACAAGTGTCGAAAAGGTTATTTTCCCCTTTGATTCACAAGAAACCTTGGGATTAATCTCGGTGTTTGGTTACATTATGTTCCTCTTTTACATTGGAGTTAAGACAGATATAAGCATGGTTCATAAAACAGGAAGGAAGGCCATAAATGTTGGAGCTGTCGCTATATTGGCTCCGTTTGGGTGCGGCATGTTGGCCCAATATTATGTCTCCTCAAAATACGTGGATTCAAGGCAGTATGCAAAACTTCCATTCATAATCGCCATATGTTCTATATCCCCCTTCCCAGTCATATCCTCTGTGTTGAGTGATTTAAAGATCATGAATTCCGAGTTGGGGCGACTGGGGCTGTCATCAGCACTAGTGAGCGAGACAATAAGCATATTATTGTCGCTCGTGGTTGGCTTCTACAACAACATGATGAATGTGGGGATAATAAGAGCTTCAGCAGATATGGGAGCCGCATTGTTGTTCGTTCTATTTCTCGTGTTCATCCTTCGCCCCTTGATGTTTTGGATTATTAAAAGGACACCAGACGGCTGTTCTGTTAATGATCACTATGTTTATTGCATACTTATAATAGCTTTGATATCATCCTATGCCTCCCATCAGTTCAATTTCTTGGCCCTGTTTTGGCCTTATATCTTGGGTTTGGCCATCCCTGAAGGACCTCCTTTAGGGACTGCCATTATTAAGAAGCTTGACATCTTTGTGACTGGCATTTTCATGCCGCTCTTCGTGACCACGTGTGCAATAAGGGTAGATCTCCAGCAATTCATGAACATTAGGAGGGCAGATGGAAAAGTTGACACATTTATGCTGCAAGTATCCCTCCTCGTTATCATTACTTTTCTTACCAAACTTGTTTCTTGCTTCTTAGTTCCCTTATATGGTAAGATGCCCTGGAAAGATGCCATGACTCTCTCGCTCACTTTGAACTGTAAGGGAATCGTTGAAATGGCCACATGCTCCTTCATCAGAGACATCATGGTATACAATTTATTCTGCCTCTCTGCTTTTTGAAACTCCCTCAAGTACTAAATATGGGAATAATTAACTAATGTCTTATTTGTGTAGGGTTTATCGGATAACGTCTTCTCTTTCCTGATGGCATACATAGTTGTGAATGCAACAATCTTGCCGATCTTGATGAGCTTTATGTATGATCCTTCAAGGAAATATGCAGGTTACACGAAAAGGAATGTCGAGGATTTAAGAAGCAACTCTGAGCTTCGAGTATTGACTTGCATTCACAGACCTGATAATATTCCCCCATCAATTAGCCTTCTTGAGGCAATATACCCAACCAATGAAGAGCCACTCGGTGTCTTCGTGCTTCACCTCATTGAACTAATAGGCAGAGCAACCCCCATTTTCATATGCCACCAGTTGCAAAGGAAGTCCAAAACTAGAAGCTCCTTCACCGACAATGTTCTCGATGCTTTCGGGAGCTTTGAGCAAGAGTTTCATGGGGCATTAACAACGAACACCTTCACGGCCGTATCACCGGCGGAGATGATGAATGATGACATCTGTCATCTAGCACTCGACAAGTTGACCTCCCTCATAGTGCTCCCATTTCACCAAAAATGGTCATCGGATGGGAATAACGTTGAACTAGATGACAAGTCCATAAGAGACCTGAACCACAATGTGCTAGACAAAGCACCATGCTCGGTGGGAATCTTAATAGAGAGAGCACAAATGTCACACATGTTCTCACCGGAGACACCCTACTCAATATGCTTGATATTCATAGGAGGAAATGATGACAGGGAAGCATTTTTTATAGCAAAGAGAATGACAAAGAACCCACACGTGAGGCTGACGGTGATACAATTCAAAGGCGAGAAAGAGAGGAAGGATATAAAAGATTGGGACAGGATGCTGGAAACAAAGATGCTAAAGGAGGTGAAGGAGAAGCAGAGAATAGGGGATGCGAGAGTGACGTACAGAGAAGAGACGGTGAAAGATGGACCAGAGACGGCTCTAATAGTAAGGTCGTTGGTGTACAAGTATGATCTGATAATAGTAGGGAGGAGAGACGGAATAGAGAGTGTGCATACTTCAGGGCTGCTGCAATGGAGCGAGTACCCTGAACTTGGGGTTCTTGGGGATTTGCTTGCCTATATACCAGGCAGGGCTTCTATCTTTGTCATTCAACAACAAAGAATGGCTTCCCAGTTATAGATAGATATCTATGCTTTTCTTCTATCAATGTACTCTTAAGTCTTAGCATTTTGATCGCTTTCTTCTAGATTGATGGTTAAGGGATTTAGACCAATATTGACGCTTGATCAACACTTTTCTTTGATCACTCATCATAGTTTATGTAGTTTTTGGTTGATCACTCTTTTAATATAGGTAAAATTAATTCTGATCAAAGTGTTTGGAAACAAAGTGTATATATATATATATATATATATATTATATTTTTGTATTTCACAATTGTATTATCTCAATTTTGGAGACCTTCGTCGCTAAGACATGGACATTCTTTTCTTTTATAAAATTATTTTAAAAAAATAAATAACACATTTATAGCTCCCTTGTATAAACTAGATTGAGTCTAATGGAAGGAGCTAACCCTTTTACAAAATAGCGAATTAATGTTTAAATTCTTATTAAGAGAAGTGACCATATTTAATATTCGATTATGTCACACAACAAAATTCTATCCAATGAGAGGATCCAAAAATTTTAGACTTATAAAAAAAAAAGGGCTACACCAATTTAAATGTAAAATGAACCCCCTGCTTTAAGATTCTTCATGATTTATATAATTGCGATAGTTGAAAAACATTTGATATGTTTTAGTTCAAAATGCAAGACAAATATATTTACACACACATACACAACAAAGGAGCCTCATCCATGCCATATCACGCTCCAAACTTCACTCTCAAGGCAATCCTCATTTTAGAGTAGACACCAATTCTATAGGAATTGTTGCAGTGCATGGAGACTAGGTAGTGTCGATGAATCTCATTTTAGAATAGACCCCTAATATACTTTGGTCTTATATTTTTTTTTTTCTCAACCATCTCCATTAGCTACACATATTAAAGAAGAGTTTTATTATCAATAGGATAGTTTTTGGAGTAAAACTTGTTAGGGGGTATTTCAAGGGAACTAGTATATGTAATATACATTTTTTCCAAATAACTAATTTAATTAATTAGTCTCTTTAATCATAGTTTTCTTAATCTTTGTAAATTAGTTATCTATCTCATACGTTTAGGATTAGAGGGAGTATTAGGTTTTAAAAAAAACATATTAATTCTTTGCTATATGTACACAATGCAATTTTATTTGAATTTTTTGTCTTATATTAATATTTTTTGCCTAAAAAATTTTATATCAATATGAATGATTATTGATACAATATAACTTTTGATAAAATTAGTATGCATAGAAGAACATGTAAAAAAAATACAAAATATTTTTTCAAAGGGAGTGACAGGGGAAAATCAAAAGAAGAAGATGCGTCACACTGTGAAAGGATTTCATTTTTTTTGGGATGAATTTTATATATTCTTTTTTATTAATGGGAAAAAAACAAAACACAAACTAATTAGGAACAAGACATAATTAAGGACATCATGTCTCGACGAACCACCTCCAACACACTACTTAGAGGTGTAGAAAAGAAATGCAAACCAGTAGGGTTGCTGAAAGCTTCCTTAACAAGTAAATCAACCACCTCCAACACATGAATGTCCTACACCTTTACAGCACACGTGACTTCCAAACAGACCTCCACAAACATCTAGCCCCTAAGGGTTCATGCTTAATCATGTTTTCGTAAGCAAGCTTGACAATAAAAGCACCATTTGAAGACCACCTCTATATTAAAGTATCCATAGCCTCTAGCCGAGCTAAAATTTGAACCTAACCAATTGTGTCTAAAATATGGTTTGGTAAAAACTGAGCAAACTTTGACTATTCCTTCCCACTTGACCTATAAAAGCAATCACTATATCAGCAAGCAAACCTTGCAAAACTAACTCCTCAAGCTTACCTATATGAAGGACCCAAGTATCTTTCTAGAATTGAGTTTTCAAGCCATTTCCCACCACTTAGCCTATACCATTCATCACCATCTCCTAATTAGATTGAATATCAACACAGGTTTGTGACCTATTTTTTCATTTCTTAACAGTAGGAACGACTGTAAGGTCTCTCTTATTAACCCATAATTAACTCTATAATTGAGGTAATTACAAGATTAATCTAAGTAAATTATCAAGTTTGTAAAATTTACATAAATGGAATCCTAAGCTTTCAAAACTTAACATGTTAAAAAATTATTTCATAAACTAAAATTAGAGCAAAACATGTATATAGAAGTATGGATATCATATAAGGTAGAATAACATCAAATTGGGGTCAAAAGAGTAAAAATAGCAATTCTAACACAATACGTTGTAGTGTAAAATTTTATGTTGTGGCATAAAATGCAAAAACCCATGACAGTAATGAAAGATTTTTTGACTGAATTTTTAATTGAGGTAATCTAGGTGTCTATAGAAAGCTTTTTTCGTACTCTAGCTAATAGTACTAGTTTCACATTTAAATAATTTCTCAATCAAAAGTTGGACACCAAAATACTAACTTACTCATTTATGCTTTTAAACATAATTAGGGTGTCAAAAATCACAACCAAGTGCCATAAGCTCACAACCACCCTTAGACCATACTCAACAGACTTAACAACATCTGTGCAACACATCACAACACTCCAATAACATGTACAACTCATTTTTAACTCTCAACCCCTTAATCTAAAAAATGATAGGAGGAGTCTTAATCATGTAATCTCACATCTAAATCACCATCATTTACAAATATACTCACTTCTTACTTACACAAGTATTTTAGCCCTATTTAGATTTTACATTTAATTCACATACAACCTATGACCTAAAATACACAACTTAGATCATGAGTCAAATGATGCAAGTAAGCAAAAACACGCAATCTTTTAGTTGACATTATCAAGATGAATTATACACATAAACTCTTAAATAAACAAGACCTACAAGTTTAGGAAAGAAATCTTAAGCTTCTGATTGTTTCCCTCTGTTCTGTCTTGATAAGCTAGTTTATATAATATTGAAGAGAGAAGAGTGAATACAACCACTCAGTAACCAATGTCAATCTAATCTATATAGTTGCATGTCAATTAATTATAAATGCAAATAATAATTAATAACTTCACAAATATTATATGCATATATTTCGAATATAGCATTGGGCACAAAACTAACAACCATGTAATCGAGCATAAATGTATATCATCACACAATTTCAAAACGTGCATCATAGGGTCGTAATAATAACAATTATGTACCCCTAATAGAAAACATGCCTGACCACAAGAATAATAACTATGTGGTAAAAAATAAAATGCATAATTAATGCCAACCTTATACCCTCCTGATATCTTCGACATGAAATCGATGGCTCTTTAGTGGCTCGTCCTCAACTCAGACTAACTCAACCTTCCACTTATGAAAAGCTGCTGGGCCAGGGCAAACCTACTCACTGTGATCCATAATTTTTTCTAATAATAACAACCATAGAGTGTCATACCCTTAATCTAATCGTCTCATAAACTGGTGGAGACTAGTTAAATTTGAGTTTCTTAAAGAACAAGTGAGATAGTCCCTAATCAACTATAGGATAATGACTACCTCTTAATTCCAACGGTTGATGCCAAGCTAAGCTTCTGATTTCAACAGTAAGTCGCTGCTACCACGTGGGTTTAACACAATTACTTCCCTTCCTATAGGCAAACTCTCGCCTAAATGGTCTTGCCATGCACAAATTCAACGACATTACTCACATCACATCATATTCACACAATTTTCTTTCTCTATTATACTCCATATGCCAAATATCACATACTCATCATTTTCATAATGACATGCTCTCAACTATCCTCATTAATCACACATGTATAAATATGCATATTGTTCTTAATAATCTAATATAATACACATAATCTATCACATTACTAAAATTTGCATCAATGCGTCTTCAATCACCTAACAAGTTTTAAACAATTTAATTCAACATATAATTAAATAACAAACAACTATACAAATTAGATTTTCTCCCGTTTATTTCAAATTTTTAAAAGGTTAAATGTTCACCCCTCAATAAAAATTTTTCACAAGCTATACCAAAGCTTGAATGCTGCAAAAGATAATTGATCTATAATTAATCATACCAATCATTATTAATATTATCATAACACTCTTCCAACTTCCATTAATCAATACTTTAATTACCCAAAATTTTAATTTCTTGCACTCAAGCATAGCCATGAAGTTTATTAACTCCCATTAACTCCATTTAGCTTTCATTAACTTAAATAATCATTAATATAACATCCAACAATCCAAAATCATACTTTGGAGGTCTATGATTCATCCAAAATGGATGACCCACTCTTACAATCTTGTAAAAATTTCTAAATTGCGTGTAGAATACTTGAATAACTCATATTAGTCCTATCTAGACTAATGGATTCAAACCCATAACCTTAACTTTGAAAATCATCATCTTTAAACCTTAAATTTTACTTTCAAAACATGTAGAGAGAATAAGAAGAAATAAAGAAGGCATATCTATGTAAAACTAAGCTTCAAACATCTCTAAAATATCCAAAAGTTGATGCCCTTGCAAAGAAAATACTCTCTTGGTCATACCTTCTTTGTTTCCTAGTCTTTACCACTAGTTTGGACTGTTTTTGCATTTTTTTAAAAAAACTGGTTCAAGAAATTATACCACAATATAAATTTTTATGTTGTATCATAACACACAGTAGGCTAAAAATTTAATTTTTCTCTACAATTTGAACCTGGATAACCCAATTTACTTTCCAACCTAATTCAAAAGCTAAAGCCAAATCCAATAACTATCTCTAACTATCCTCAAACTTAATTATACTTAAATTTATATAATTACCTTTCATTAGATTAATAAATCATGGGAATAATTTTTGTGATGTTACAATGATATCCGAACCACATTTATACTTCTTTCGAATGAACTTGACCCATAAATTATCCTTATGATAAATCAAACCTCAACCAAGCTTTTGCATGAAGGCGTTGTTTTGTACTTTAGTCAGTTATAGCCTTGGACCACCCTCTTTCTTATGCTTATACACTCTATCCCAA